TGTGTGTGTGTGTGTGTGTGTGTGTGTGTGTGTATGTGTGTATATATGTGTGTGTGTTTTTCAAAGAACTATGTCTAGGACTACAAAGATGGTTCTTCAGATATTTGAAGGTTGCCATAGTGGTCCTTCTAATGTTGAGTTCTCCAGGCCATGCATTTCCTGTTTTTCCAATCATTTGTGTTAAGCATTGATTTTTCTAGATCTTCAATAATCTTAAATCACCCTCTGGAGAGGGACTTAGTTGGAACATGATGCACAAATTTTAAGATGATGTAGAGGTTTGCTTCTTTTTATTTTATTTTTTTTCAGTGTAAAATTTTTCTGTTTAGAATTAGGCAGCTGGACTCAGTTTAGATGATTCCAATTTTGTTGGCAACATCCATAGCATCATCGTCAGGAGCCAGTCGAACATATGCCTTCTCGCCATCAGGCCTGATCAGGGTGTTGACCGTGGCCACATCAATGTCACAGAGCTTCCTCACAGCCTGTTTGATCTGGTGCTTGCTGGCCTTGACATCCACAATGAACACAAGTGTATTATTGTCTTCTATCGTCTCCATGGCTGACTCGGGAGTCAGGGGAACTTGATGATGGCATAGTGGTCAAGCTTGTTTCTCCCGGGTGCGCTTTTCCGAGGATATGTAGGCTGCCTCCAGAGCCTTAGTGTCTTTGGCCGTCGGAAGGTGGATGACATGCGGATCTTTTTTTTTTTTTTTTTTTTTTTTTTGGCTGTGAATGCCTTTCACCGCTGCTTTCTTTGCCTTCAAAGCCTTTGCTGTGACTTCGGCTTTGGGAGGGGTTTCCTTCTTCGCTTTCAGCGCCATCTTCGTAAAAAGGGTTTCTTTTTCATAACTGTGTCATTCCTACCTTCAAGCACTGTTTCTTTGAGTGCTATCCGAGTTTGGAATAATAGGTTAACTTTTGTTGACATTACTTGTAAAAATGAACAGTTATTAAGCCAGCTCTCCTTATCCAGTACTCACACTATTAGTTTTTAAAAAATTGAGTTTACGTTTAAAAAAATGTTTTTATTCATTTTAGAGAGAGGAGAGGGGGGAGAGAGAGAGAAACATCTATGAGAGAGAAACATTAACATGATAGATTGCTCCCCGTATGCCCCCTCCTTGGGGATTGAGCTGCAACCCGAGCATGTGCCCTGACCTGGAATCCAGCTGTGACCTCTGGGTCCATGGTTGGATGCTCAACCCCTGAGCCAAACTGGCCAGGCTTAATTCATCGTTTTATTAAGTTATCCCACCTCAGAGGTTAGGGTTATCCCCCATTGGACAGAGGATGGTAGTGAGGCTCAGAGGTGAGGAACTTGTGTCAGGCAGTGAGTTTTTACAACCACTAGGTTTCTTCCCATCATCTTTCTGACCTTACCGAGAACTTGGTCAGTTTGATAGACTTGTAGCGAGTGGGGTCCCTAGCTGCAAATCTGATAAGCTTGTTGCCTCCGCTTTGTGTGTAGCAGAACCACTGGAGACCCCCTCTAGGTGGACATAAATGGTCCATTCTTTCATCTTAATTAGATCTCATTATTCAGCTTCTTAGAAATCTGCCCAACACGGTCTGTACGGTAGGGATGTGCACAAGATTCTCAGGACTCTCTCTGCACTTCCTTCATCTAGCAGTTTGGTAACCTCAACAAAGGAGGTGAAGTTGGTGTGGCATGACTTGTTCTTAATTAGCTTTCTAGATTTATTTGCTCCACAATTTAAAATCTCTGTTACTAGAGGAGTCATGACAACTAAACTCTGAATCTAGAAAATAGTAGTTTAGAAAGGGATTTTGTTGTTTGGTTGTTTTGTTTTTGTTTTTTAATATATTCCCTTGGTCTTTTACAGAGAGGAAAAAAGAGGGATAAAGAGTTAGAAATATTGATAAGAGAGAAATAATGATCAGCTGCCTCTTGTACACGCCCCACTGGGGATATGCCCGCAACCAAGGTACACGCCCTTGACCGGAATCAAACCTGTGTCCCTTCAGTCCGCAGGCTGACGCTCTATCTACTGAGCCAAACTGGTTTGGATTTTTGATAAAACTTAAACTGCAGTCTGGGTCCGGATTAATTTAGAATGTTCAAAAGCCATCATTGAGCCTGGAGTTTTTGGCATAGTCTTGAATGAGTGAGTGAAAGGTATAGAAGGAATAAGATTTCTCCTCTCAGGTCATTTGGTCAGTATTTGACAGCTTCAGAAATAGCATCTAAATTCAGTTTTTCTTAATATTTTTTTCTGAATCTCAATTAGGGAGATATTTAACTTGGACTTTTACTCTTTTTTTTTTTAATCTTTATTGTTGAAAGTATTACAGATGTCGCCTTTTTCTCCAATTGACCTCTTTTAGCCCCCCCCCCCCCCAAGCCTTCACTACCCTATTATTTGTGTTCAGAACTTATACAAATCTATGCCTACAAGTTCTTTGGTTGGTCTCTTCCCATCCCTTAACCCCCGATTTCTGCCTTCCCTCTGAGATTTAACAGTCTAGACTTTTATAGCATCGTAATGTTTGGGCTTAAATTGCTCATTTATATGTGTTTTTGGATGCTAGTTATAGGGCTTTGTACACCTACAACTTGTGGACTTTCTGTATGCTACAATTCAATAAAGTGGTTTTTAGAAGGAAAACAATGTAGAGAAGTTGTCTTTCCTCTTTATGCTTAGAAAAGTTATGCTAACTGTATTGATGTTACTCCATTCACTACATTTCCATCTTTAAGGTTTTATATAATATACATTTAGACAGTATTTTATTCTAAGACATTTGGAATTCATTGTCCATAAGGATGTAGGCAATAGCTGCCATCGTTTTTAAAGAATAAAGTTTAAAAAATATATATATTCTTATTGATTTCAGAGAGGAAGGGAGAGTAAGAGAGAAAGAAACATCGGTGATGAGAAAGAATCGTTGATTGGCTGCCTCTTGCATGCCCCACACTGGGATTGAGCCCGCTATCTGGGCATGTGCCCCTACCAGGATTCGAACCGCAACTTCCTGGTTCCTAGGTCATTGCTCAACTACTGAGCTATGCTTAGGTGGGCAAGAATAAAGTTTAAAGAGTTTGAATTGATTCAGTTTCTAACATAGTGATGTAAGATTACACATACTTCATTTGAGAAGAAAAAACATTAGATACTTTATATATTCAGATATAGATTTTTTAATATTTCTTTTTAGAAAGAGAGAAATAGCCATTTGTTGTTCCACCTATTCCTGCATTGATTGGTTGATTCTTTTTTTTGGTCAGTTCTCATTGAGGATATTTTTTCCATTAATTTTTAGAGTTGGGGGTGGGGGGAGGGAGAGGTGTGAGAGAAACACATTGATTGGTTGCCTCCTGCACACACCCAGCCTAGGTCAGGGATTGAACCTGCAACTCAGGTACCAGGAATGGAACCTGCTACCCTTTAATGCATGGGCCAACACTTTAACCACTGAACACACTGGCCAGGGAAGATAAAGGTCTTGCTCAAATGTCCTTTCTTCCTATTTCCTTCCTTTCCACTTCCTCTTTAAATCTTTGGTCGTCCCCATACTGCACTTTATCACGTAGTTCGATCCTAATTAATGCCTGTTGGAGTAGGCCGGGTGACCTACAGGAGAGCTTTGTCTCATACTTAATTTCCACAGGTCCTGTGATATAGTGGAGGCACTTAATAAATATAATACTTGTTGATTGAATGAAATTGGGACAAACTGAGAAATGTTAGAACAAAATTATTCTGCTTTTGCCTTAGAGGACTCTTTAATACAATGTGCATTTAATGTCTTCCCCCATAATTTGTAAAAATTGTGCCCGGTTTGGAAGATTTAGAAAAGCAGAAGGGGATACTATCCATAGTCCCACCATTCATAGATGCATCTTGTATGTAATCATTTGTAATGAGAAAAATATACTTTTTAAACCAGCTTATGCTATAGTTAACATTGATGATCTAGTATGTGTTAGACTCTGCTAGATATGCACTTTTTTTTAATGTATTTTTTTTTTTTTATTTCAGAGAGAAAGGGAGAGAAAGAGAGAGAGAGAGAGACAGACAGACAGACATCAATGTTGAGAGACAATCATTGATCTGCTGCCCCCTGCACACCCGCTACTAGGGATTGAGTCTGCGACTCAGGCATGTGTCCTGACTGGGAATTGAACAGGGATCATATGTCGATGCTCAACCACTGAGCCACACCGGCTGAGCAATATGCACTTTCATATGCATTCTCATTTTATATGAACTTTCCAAAGGAATATGAAACAATGTATTTAAATAATGTCTTTTTCTCATACCCATCTTGCATATATATATATATATATATATATATATATATATATATATATAATTATTTATTTTTTTTTTATTTTATTGATTTCAGAGAGGAAGGGAGAGGGAGAGGGAGAAAGAGATAGAAACATCAATGATGAGAGAGAATCATTGGTTGGCTACCTCCTGCATGTCCCACACTGGGGATCGAGCCCGCAACCTGAGCATGTGCCCTTGAATCGAACCTGGGACCCTTTAGTCCACAGGCTGACGCTCTATCCACTGAGCTAAACCAACTAGGGCCCATCTTGTTCTTTGAAGAGACTGCTTTAAAAAATAAATACAATTTTTTTTTAAACCTATGCTGTAGAAGCATTGTGAATGTTTTATTACTGCAATGTAGGATTTCAAAGTAAACAATATTTTTACGCCAGAGCATGGCGATATACTGAGCATGGTGTGAGGTGCTGTAAGGACTCCCAGGCTGAATAATTCCTGTGCTCAGTGATTTCCTCTGCTCATGGAATTAATGGTTTAGTGTATAAAAACAGCAATGGGAAGGACAAGAGAAATAAACATGGTGTGAGAGGTTACTTGAGATTGGTATCACTAGTTTTCTTAGTGATGCAAGGAAACTCTGAGCTCAGTAGTAATGCCATTACCCTACTTATGTTGCTTAGATTGGCTTATCTTGGGAGCGACAGGACATTGCTCATCGTGAAGATCAGGTGACCACTGACCATGTCTTCGAGGCCTTTTGAAAGTCCTCCTCCATACAGACCTGATGAATTGTAAGTGAATATTTCTTCAGTCTTCTTTTTAAAAAAAAGTCTATCACATGTAAAAGAAAAAAATATGTACCCTATTGTTGAAATTTTCACCTATTTTTTGTTTGCTTTTAAAAATAAAATATGTGTATTCAGTGAGAAATAAGTTTCCCTCTTTCCCATAACTTCCAGGATGAGTTTTTCTCTGCAAAGACAACTATTGTTACCTGTTTCTAACGTTTGCTTCAATATAGTCTAGGTTTCTATTTGTATGTATATGTATTCCTTTTGTTTTCACAATTGGTATGACACTTCCGTATTAATGGCTTGTTTAAATCACCATTGGCAACATGGCATCACTTTTCTAAATGACACTTTTATTAAGGTTTAATACACGCGTCCTACAACCCACTCATTTAGATTGGGCAGTTCAGTGATTTTAATGTCGTCCCAGAGTTGTGGAAGCATCATCACAGTTTTAGAACGTTTTTATGACTGCCTCCCCAAAGACATACGGGCCCACTGAAGTCACTGCTTATTTCCCCCTTGTACTCAGCAACCACCAGTCTATTTTTCTGTTCTAGGTTTGTCCGTTCTGGACATTTCATATAAACAGAATCGTACATGTGGTCTTTTAATATATTTTTATTGATTTCAGAGAGGAAGGGAGGAAGGAGAAAGAGAGAAAGAGAGAGATAGAAAGAAACATCAATGATGAGAGAGAATCATTGATCAGCTGCCTTCTGCATGCCCTCAACTGGGGATCAAGCTTGCAACACAGGCATGTGCCCTTGATCAGAATCAAACCAGGGACCCTTCAGTCCGCAGGCCAATGCTCTATCCACTGAGCCAAACCAGCAAGGGCTGTGATTGACTTCTTTCATTTAGGATCATGTGTTCTACATTGTCGATTTTAAGAGTGAGTCTTGCCATCATACAAAAGAAGCAAAATTGATGGTTCTTAGCATTGCTAATTATTTAGGGATTTAACAGTGAATTCTTCCATTTTAAATTTGTTAGCAAGCATTGCTAGGGATTGCCTCTTTTAAATAGTTTGTAGCTTTAACTCTTTGATAATTGTAGTGGGGCTGTGTTTGTATTACTGATACATAACCTCCTGCCTAATATTTGAACGTGGTATGGATACAGTTGTTTATGACAATGTGGTCATTAAAATGTTAGAGAATATAGTTACTGAGTAGTGTTCCATTAGCCTGATGTTTATTTTATGTTGCTTTTCTAAACGATGGTGAAATATAATATACAAATAAAAAAGGGCACAGAACTTGTGTATGAGATGATGAGTAAAGACAAAACAAAATCATCACCTAGGTCAAAAAATAATACTTTTCTCTGTTATCTCACCACTTTATGCATCCTAAAGAGTACATAAGTTTTACTTGTTTGTAAATTTTCTTCATTTTTGCTTCAGAGCAGTGCTGTACAAATATAATATGAGTCACATATATAATTTTATGTTTTCTACTAACCATATTGAAAATAAAATAAATTAATTTTAATAATATACTTCACTTAACTCAATATATCCAAAATATTATCATTTCAACACAAGATTCTTTTTAAAAAAAATATATTTTATTGATTTTGTACAGAGAAGAAAGGAAGGGAGAGAGAGAGCCAGAAACATCGATGAGAGAGAGTCATCGACCAGTCGCCTCCTGCACACCCCCCTCTGGGGATATGCCCGCAACCAAGGCACATGCCCTTGACCGGAATCGAACCCGGGACCCTTCAGTCCCCAAGCCGATGCTCTATTCATTGAGCCAAACCAGTCCTGGCTCAACACAAGATTCTTATAAAGACTGATTCATGGGTTAGTATACCTTCTGGATATTTTTTTAAGCCTTTATATTTTAGATCAGTTTTACAATCATAGCAAAATTGAGAGGAAGGTACAGAGATTTCCCATATTCTTCCTGCCCCCACACATGCAATAGCATCATCCATTATCAATATCCCCCACCAGAGTGATAACATTTGTTAAAATTGATGAACCTACATTGACACATCATTATCAACCATAGTACTTAGTTCATGTTAGGGTTCTTTCTTGCTGATCTTACATTTTTTTTTCATGTTGTGCTTACTTTGTATTTTACACTTAAAAGCACATCTCAGTTTGGACTGGCCACACTTGAAGTGGTCAGTAAATCCATGTGGCAGGCGGCTGCCATATTAGAGCGTAGCTCTCTAGCTCCATCATATGGCTATATTACAATTACCCATTAAATTGGGCCCCTGGATCCAGTTCTAATGTGGGGGGTTCCCCACACACCAACCAACAACTCTCAGGATACCAGCAGGGCGCCCTCAATTCTGACCTGGCTAACTGTAGATAGAGTTCGATTCCATAAGTTAAGGGTGCAATCCTGCAAGGCTGCTTCCCTCCACCCCACTAACAATTCTCAGATAACAACAGGTTGTTCAAGAATTCAACTCCGTTTACCCAGAGATAGCATTAGATGCCACAGGTTAATGACTGCCCCGCCCCCAAACATACCTACTTCAGAGGCCAGCCACAAAGCCAGGCTCCCTGTGCTTCTGACCAGCTGGCTACAGAGGGGAGAATGCCACATTATTCCCTGCACTTCCGACTGGCTATAAACCAGAAGTTCCCACAACTCTCTCCTTGGGTTCAGTTAATTTGTTAGAATGATTCACAGGACTCAGAGAAACATGTTACTTCCTAGGCATGCAGTTCTTAAAGTCAGTCTGTCCACACATCAGTGTGCCTTGTTTATGCATTAACTACTGGTGTTTGCAAGATGTTTTTTATAATGGAGACTCAGGATCCAATGAGGCATCACCCTGATGAGCCCACGTTTATATATTTGATTTACTTTTCAACACCGTAACTAATTATAGATCATGTCGGGATTAATGTCTTCCGGCCCCAATAGAGACTCAGCTGTGGGAGGATCCTGGACCGAGCCTGTGCTGGTCATTGTTGCATCCCCAGTACCGAGCACAGGGCCAGCCTGGCTCCAGGAAATGGCTGTCAGTTGAATAAATGAATGAATGTGCCTCCTTAGGGGAGTGAGGCTCCCGGGAGTTGCACGTGTGCATCGGTAGGTCATTATAGGTGTCGTGTCTGAATGCCCTGCTCTCAAGTCACACAGGCAAAAGGGTTGACACCATTGTTTGAAACTTCATGGGTTCCATCCCCAGGTATCATGATTTAACTGGTACAAAGTTCTCCATCTGGGGAGTTTGCACATGCCCAGGTGATTCTAATATGGAGCAAGATTTGAGAACTTCTGTTCCATGCATAGAAGCTAGAGCAGTGATTCTCAAGCTATGGTCCCCAGACCAACAGCACCTGCAGCAACGGGAGAAGTGTCCGACCCCAGATCTGCAGACCCAGCAACATCTGGGGTGGAGGCTCACAAGCCCTCCAGAGGGTTGTGATGCACAGGTATCTTTACTGTTCAGTGGGTACCTGAGTGCTTCTGGCTGACATAACAGAGGACTCTAGACTGGGTAGCTCCTGAACAGCAGACATTTCTTTCATTTCTGGAGGCTGCAATTCCAAGATAGGGTGTCAGCATTTTCAGACCCTGGTGAAGGCCCTCTTCCGAGTTGCAGAATGCCAACTTCTAGTTGAGTCCTCACTTGGTGGGAAAGGTGAGAGAGCTCTTTGAGACTTTTTTTTTAAATTTAAATTTTATATATTTTATTGATTTTTTTACAGAGAGGAAAAGAGAGGGATAGAGAGTTAGAAACATCGATGAGAGAGAATCATTGATCAGCTGCCTCTTGCACACCCCTACTGGGGATGTGCCTGCAACCAAGGTACATGCCCTTGACCGGAATTGAACCTGGGACCCTTCAGTCTGCAGGCCGACGCTCTCTCCACTGAGCCAAACCGGTCCCTGCTGAGACCTTTTTTATAAGAGCATTATTCCCATTCGTGAAGTCTCTGCCTCAGAATCTAATTTCCTCCCAAAGGCCCCACCTCCTACTACCATCACATGAGGATTTAGGATGCTGACATTTTAATTTTGGGGGACATGTGAATTCCCCCATGGCAGTTGGGGCAGTAGTAACAATAGAGTTTTTGTTTGTTTGTTTGTTTTATTATTTTTGGCCAAGGGTCTGTTTTAAGTTCTTCTACCCTGTTTCCCCGAAAATAAGACAGTGTCTTATATTAATATTTGCTCCCAAAGATGCACTAGGTCTTATTTTCGGGGGATGTCTTATTTTTCCATGAAGAAGAATACGGTACACATTTATTGTTAAATGAAAATAAAGGAAATTTATTACCTGTATACGGTATGGTAGTACAGTAGTTGTCAACACAAACCAGACAAACTGTGAATCCTATAGTATCAAGAATTTACTCATTTATTCAATGACAATCATGTCATCATATTCTGGAACATCATCATAACAATCCAATTCCTGAATTTCCTGGTGAATTTCTTGTGAGTCCATTTCTTTCAGAAACAGTGGACCGAATCTCTCACGTTTAGCCTGGGGCGGGGGGGGGGGCTTATTTTCAGGGGGATGCCTTATATTTCACTCAGAAGAAGACCTGTAAGTAGGTCTTATTTTCGGGGAAACACGGTAGGTATTTTATACTTTCTTTCCGCTTACCTCCAAAAAGTGCTAACTTGAAATTGTTCTCATGTGCCTTTCAGCAAACCAAGCCATTACGCGCCGAGCAATGACATGTACGGTGGAGAGATGCACGTTCGACCAATGCTCTCCCATAAGGCGTATTCTTTCTACCCAGAAGATGAAATCCTCCACTTCTACAAATGGACCTCTCCTCCGGGAGTGATCCGGATCCTGTCCATGCTCATCATCGTGATGTGCATTGCCATATTTGCCTGTGTCGCCTCCACCCTTGGCTGGGACAGAGGCTATGGGAACAACATCCTAGGAGGTGGCATAGGTTACCCTTACGCTGGAAGTGGCTTTGGAAGCTTCGGAAATGGCTACGGTTATGGCTACAGTTACGGCTATGGAACAGGCTACACAGACCCAAGAGCGGCAAAGGGTTTCCTGATATCCATGGCTGCCTTTTCTTTCATTGCTGCGCTGGTAATATTCGTTACTAGTGTTATAAGATCTGAGATATCTAGAACACGAAGATATTACCTGACGGTGATAATCCTGAGTGCCATCCTGGGCTTCCTGGTGTTTATTGCCACCATCGTCTACATAATGGGAGTCAATCCAACTGCCCAGGCTTCGGGATCTATGTATGGTTCACAGATTAGTGTCCTCTGCAACCAGTTTTATTCACCTACAACTTCTGCGCTATACGTGGATCAGTATTTGTATCACTACTGTGTGGTGGATCCCCAGGAGGTATGAGCAGTTTTATTTTTTCACACCTTGCATCAGAGGCTCTCAGCTCGGGATGCTGATAATAGAACCACGTTGGGGACTTTTAAACAATATTGTTGCCAAGACCCCACTTCTATTTTAATCAGACCCTGGGAGAAGGACTAGGTGTCATTATTGAGGTATAATTAACGTACCACATAATTCATCCATTCAGAGTTCAGTTTGTTGGTTTTTAGTATAGTCACAGAGTGGTGCAACCATCACTACAATCAACACTTTCACTTTTCCCCAAAGAACATTTCAATAATTCACACAGTCAGTTGTCACTTCCCTAACTCTTCCCAGACCTATTGTACAGATTTGCCAATCCTGGATTTTATATAAACAGAATCACACAATATATGCAGGTTTTTATGATTGACTTCATTTAGCACAGTGTTTTTAAGGTTCGTGTTGTAGCAGGCACCAGTACTTCATTTCCCTTTTATTGCTGAATAATATAGTCCTTTATTTGGATATACCAAATTTTTTTATTCATCAGTCGAGGGGGGCATGTGGGCTAATTCCATATTGGCTGTTAGGAATAACTCTCTGAACATTTGTGTGTAAGTTTTTTGTGTGAACCTGTGTTTTAATTTCTCTTGATTCTATATCTAGGAGTGGAATTGCTAAGTCTTATGGTGACTTTGTGCTTAACCTTTTGAGGAACTGCCAGACTTTTCCAAAGTGGTTACATTACTTTAAATTTACCAGAAACATATAGGATTCCAATTTATGCACATTCTCACCAACAGTGTTTTTGTCTGTCTGATTCCGGCCATGCTAATGGTGTGAAGTAGCACCTCGTTTTGGTTTGGATTTGCATTTCTTTGACAGCTCATGAATGATGTTGAGCTTGTTTTCTTTGTGCATATATCTTCTTTGGAGAAATGGCTAATAGAATCTGTCAATTTTTTAATTGGGCTACATGTATTTTTGTTATTGAGTTGTAAGACCTCTTTATATATTTGAATACAATAGATATAGATGTGTGATTTACAAGTATTTCTCTCATTTTATCATTTTCATTTCACTTGCTGTATATTGTTCTATTGTTCTCTGCACAAAAGCCTTTCATTTTGATATATTTGATTTTTTTTCTTTTGTCTGTGCTTTTGGTGTCAATATCTAAGAACACGTAACCTAATTCAAAGTCACAAAGATTTACTCCTGTGTTTTCTTCTTCTAAGACTTAATTTTAGCTCTTTCAGTTAGGTCTGTGATCCACTCAGTTAGGACACAGTATGAGGAAGGAATCTAACATTCTTTGCACAGTTGTATTGGTATTATTTATTGAAAGGACTGTTTCACCATTAAATTATCCATGCTTTAGTAAAAAATGAATTGACAATAAATGTAAGGATTTAGTTCTAAACTCTCAATTTCATTCCATTCATCTATATTTCTATCCTTATGCTAGTACCTCACTATCTTGATTACGGTAGCTTTGTATGTTTTGAAATCAGGAAGTGGGAGTTTGCTAGTTTTGTTCTTTTTCAAGATCATTTTGGCTAAATATTGAGTCCCTTGTGTTTTCATATGAATTTGGGGATCTGCTTGTCAATTTCTGGAGGGGAAAAAAAGCCAGCTAGAATTTTGAAGGATTGCATTGAATCTGTAGATCAATTTGGAGAGTATTGTCATCTTTACATCAAGTCTACTAATACATGAACATAGTATGTCTTTCCATTTACTTAGGTCATCTTTCATTTCTTTCAAAGTGTTTTGTAAGTTTTAGGGTGCAAGCCAGTATTTTTAAAAGCCATCCAGGTGATTCAAACGTGCAGGTGGGGTAGAAAGCTCTGCCTTCAGTAGCCATGAATCACCCCTAATTATATTCAGAAAATGTTTCTGGGTTACTAACTGACTCAGGAATTCTCATTCTTTTGCCTCTTTTGAAGTCTGAAATGTTTTTCCCTGCAACTTAAGGTTTTCAGAATGTTTGTGGTTGACATTCAGTTGTATCTGTGGTTAACAGGGCTGAGGGTCAGTACTCCCATCTGACCACAGCCCCATCCTTTTTAGTCCTCTGACTACCCAAACCTGGATTCTTTGAGAAAGGATATCACTGTTAGATAGCTGCAAAGAGATCCTCCTGCTACCCACAGATCCCGGGCAGAGTGCTGGTGCCTCAACTCCAGGTGCCCCTGGGCCAACGTACCACTTAACACATCTTGGCCCCGGGAGAACAGTCATGGGTAGGGTTTCCCCATCACAGAGCCCTTTCTAGTGAGTCAATGAAAGACTCCAAAACAGAAAAACCTGCCAGACTAAATGAATCATTAGCCACGTTCCTCTAATTTATAGCTCAGTCAGATTGTGTCTGCATAATTACGGGTAAGGCCCATCCTCTGTAAAACACCTGGTGCTCAAGCTTTTGTTGGGAATAGTTTCCTGTAAAATTCTGAAATGGGGATGATGATAGTACCTAACGTTAATGAACTGTATTCTGAGGATGGAATTAAGGGGTGTGTGTTTTACTAGCGTTAACGAGTGTGGGTAGGTTTTATAGTTCTAAAATGCAGCCATTTGTATCAGTTTCATATCAGTTAAATCACAGATACTCAGTAGGGTGTTTGTAAAGGGTGGATTAGGTACTTGCAGAGGGTGCATTGAGCTGAAGGAAGCAATTAAAATGTAATTATATCATTATCTTCACTCTCTTTAGGCCATTGCCATTGTGCTAGGATTCATGGTTATTGTGGCTTTTGCTTTAATAATATTCTTTGCTGTGAAAACTCGAAGGAAGATGGACCAGTATGACAAGACGAATATTTTGTGGGACAAGGAGCCTGTTTATGATGAGCAGCCCCCCAATGTTGAAGAGTGGGTAAGTATTAAACACACACACACACACAAAAAAAACAAAACAAAACAAAAACAAACAAACAAACAAACAAACAAACAAAAAAAAACACACACACACAGCAAGCATCCAATCTTTCATTAAACCCTTAGGTTTCTGTCTCTGAACTTGACCTTTCCTGCTTTGTGAAACTCTGTTCTTAGATTTAGTGTCTGTGTTGCAAAAGTTTTGGTCTCAGGTTTTACTTTAAAGAAGTTGGGATAAGGAGAAATTATTTTATTACAAGGTAAAAATCAGGTTTCCATTTTCAAGAAGTAGATCTAGGCACTGAAAATGAATTGATTCTCAAGTAATCATGTGAAAAAAATAAATAATCATGTGGAAGGAATTAACACAACTCCCCACCCCTACCCAGGCACCTTTTACTTTCCTGCTTATCCTTTGGAGGGAAACACTATTTATTGCCCAGGGTATCCCTGGGATTAGGATGACCAAAGGCTGTTTTTGGAGTGGTAGCAGGTGGCAGACTTAAGCTTTTTACATGGAGAACAGCCTGGTGAATCACAGTGTCTGGTTCTGCACTAACATTCACAGTATCTATGAACTACTTAAGGAGGCCGAGAGAGATTAGAGCAATTTCCTTTTTTGTATATACTGTTTACCCACTGGTAGGTAGCCTCCTATGTGATATGATTTGCTGAAAGCTCACCAAGCCCCTATCTTCAAAAGTATCTCCCCAATGCATGTTATTGAAAACCTAACCTGTCTTTAGAGATGTTTGAAGTGAGACTTTGTATTTTAGAAATCGTCTGTTAGGGTGATGTTGGGAACAACCCCAGAAACTTCCATCATCGGGTTCATTGAGCAGATTGATTGCTTCCACGAGGGTTAGCTGAGAATCCTGGACACTGGTTCCAGGATATTGCTGGTCAGGGGTAAAGATATTGATCATCCCCAAGGCTCCTTTAGCTGCAGCATCGCATACATCTTGTGCTGGAAGAATTCTAGAAATGTAGATGAAAGGTATATTTTTATTGATTTTACAGAGAGAGAAAGAGAGAGAGAAACATTAATGTGAGAGAGAAACATTGATCAGTTGCCTTCTGTGTGTCCTGACCAGGACTGAACCTGCAATCTGATTAAGTGCCCTGACTGGAAATTGAACCCGAAACCTTTTTGGTGCATGAGGCAGTGCTCCAACTGAGCACAGTCCAGGACTGAATTTTTTTTTAATTTTTTTTTTTAGTTAAGGAGCAAAAATTAAGCAGTCTTAGGAAAGTCAAAAGGTGGGGCATATGGAAATGATGTTTTGTGTCCCTGCCCTTGAAGAAATCCTCTGTTAGGATGGATTGTTCTTTGTCCCTCCTCAGTTTTTCCACCCATAAAGTGTGAAGGTGTTAGGGAATGTTTTCCTTTAACCTTTAGCCCCAGGCAAGGCCAACGCAGATGGAATAGGACAGTCCATTGTGAACTATGAAGTAAATGTTTCTTGGGAGTTTCTGGGCGTGTCAGTTTTCACTGGCTGTTGGGTTTATTTACTTAAGGTTTCGAGAGCCTTAAAAAAAAAAAAAAAAAAAAAAAAAAAAAAAACTGACTTAAGAGAGACCAGAGCCAGTAATAATAGAGTCCCAGTGAACTTTGGGCTCTTGTCTGATTTTACTGTCATGAATGTTTAGTCAGTTCCAGGTGCTTTTGATAATTTGGCAAAGGCTAATCATAATTTACGGAGGTGACGATGATGATGAAGAAGTGGAAAGGATGTAGCTTATTAAAAGGCATTATTTTTATAATGTTTCCTCACTAAATCTCTAGAAAAATTGATAGCCCAGACAAGGTTGTTTGATGTATACTTAATAGTTTCTCTGTAGAAGTAACTGTTTCGCTGTACGAAACTTAAAGAATCATCTGATAAATAGCAGGTATACAATTTTGGCATGCTAGTGTTTAATGTGATACTTGCAAATTCTTCATTTCTTTTCCCTTTCCCTTCTTTTCTCCAATTGAATCGCATAAGGAAGGCTAGTATTTGAAACTAGAGGTTTGGTGCACGAAATTTATGCACTGCAGGGAGGGGAATCCCTCAGCCTGGGCTGTGCCCTCTCCTAGTCCAAGAGCTCCAAGATCAATTGCCCCGCAGAGGGAGGACCTGCTGTAGCCTGCTGGTCAGTGACCTGGGCCTCCCTCTTTGGAGTGATCATGGAGCCCCCCTGATTGATCACCCTGCTGGCTGGTGGCCTGGGCCTCCCTCTGTGGGGTGATTGTGGGATGATGGTAACCCTCCACTTCAACCAATTGCATTGCACTTGCCTTGGCTGGCCTGGTGTGTAGTCGTCCGGACGGCTGTTCAGCCGTTTGGTCGATTTGCATATTACACTTTTATTATTATAGATAAGCTACTTAGAGGTGGTTTTAGCTACAGGTGTATTGCTTTTCCTTTCATTATTCCTTCACCTGCCCCATGTTTGCTTTGCTAAACTCAAAACCAGCACCTTCGACCTTGCACCCTCAATTTCCCACCTTCTCTGTTGTTCAGCAGATGAGCATCCAGCCCTCTGCTGTCTCAGGAGTATATACATAGATGTATATCTCAGTGTCTTCTTGGGAGGGGCACATTCGGCATCCTCCTCCACTGTCACCATCTTGGACCTCCTCAGGAAATGTGCAACTTTTTAATTTCCTGTCTCTGAATCTTGAGCACAATGGTTTCTCTGCCTTCCTAGGAAATTTCAGGGTTTTTGTTTTTTCTTCCTCCCCTTTCTGTATATCTTGTACTTTGTAAAATAAACAGACCATGTTTGCATACTGGGTGTTAACCTCGTTCTTTGAAGTTCACTTAAGTTTGTGCCAACATTGTTGTATTTTAAATGTTTAAAGGTCCTTTTAATAAATATACAGACCTTTATTTTTTCTGTCTGTCCTCAAGACTAATGGGTACTTTTTGTGAATGAAAGTACAGTCATTGATGAGCGATGGGGATAAGTTCTGAGAAACGTGCCTTAGGCAATTTCATCTTTGTGAGCATCGTAGTGTAGACTTACTCAGACCTCGATAGCATAGCTTACTGCACACCCAGGCTACATGGTATAACCTATAACTTCTAGGCTACAGGCCTTCACAGCCTGTCTCTGTACAAAACACGGTATTAAATCAATTATGAGAGACAGTGCTATCAAGAGACACAGCAAATGCAAGATCTCTGAGGCTCCTGCCAACATAACACAGCTACTGTTTTACAGCAAACGTTGCTTTATAAGTAGAAAGAGGACACTCAAATAACAATAAAAAGTATAGTGTTGTGACTAAACCATTAACGTTGTTTATAATCAAGTATTATGTATTGTACATAATTCAGTGTAAAGGTATGTGCTATACTTTTATACAACTAGCAGTGCCTAGGGTTTTTTTTACACCACAGCATCATCACAAACACGTGACTAGTGCATTTCACTACAGTGTTACAAGTCACTAGGTGATAGAAAGTTTTCAACTCCATTTTAGTCTTCAAGTACCCTAACCGCAGTACTTGCTAAACTCAAGTACCCTAACCACAGTACTTGCTAAACTCAAAACCAGCACCTTCGACCTTGCACCCTCAATTTCCCACCTTCTCTGTTGTTCAGCAGATGAGCATCCAGCCCTCTGCTGTCTCAGGAGTATATACATAGATGTATATCTCAGTGTCTTCTTGGGAGGGGCACATTCGGCATCCTCCTCCACTTCATAGGAGAAATTGAAGTTTGCAGGTGACTTAAGTAATTTGTCTCAGACTGGACATTCTAACCTGCAGGACAAGTATTATGTTTGCTGTTATACCTTGTATTTGTTGGGGTGTGTGTGTGTGTGTGTGTGTGTGTGTGTGTCTTTTTTCTCTCTGAGACCCAGTTTTCTTTGTCAATAGAATTGGAGAAAATAGTAAAATAGTATATTTTCAATCCATAGTTGGGAATCTGCGTATGGGGAGGATCAACGTAAGTTTTACATGGGGTCTGGCACTCCTAAACCCTGTATTGCTCAAGGGTCAACTATACTGAATATAACTAACTGATTATAATGATAATATATGTGTAAAGTGCTTATCTCTACTACAGATCAGCATACCATCTATCAATGAGTATATTCTACCTGTCTGCTAATTTGCACCTTTTCTTGTTATTGCCAAATGATTATGTCAGAAGCAGGTATAGGCTAAGTTTGGAGACAGCATGCCTTAAACTTGTTTCTCCATTGTAGTAATTTGTTTTAAAACATTCTATTTTTAGCCCTGGCCAGAGTGGTTCAGTTGGTTGGCCATCATCCTGTGCACCAAAAGGTTGCCAGTTAGATTCCCAGTCAGGGCACACGCCTGGGTTGCGGGTTAGATCCCCAGTAAGGAGCATGCAGGAGGCAGCCCATTTGTGTTTCACTCTCACATTGATGTTTCTCTCTCTCCTCACTTCCTCTCTCTCAAAATTAACTTAAAAAAATATTTAAAAATGTTTTATTTTTAAGTAGGAAATACTTAAAGCTAAGTTTGTTATCTAGGTAGCTCTATTTCTAGAAGTTTCTAAGCCTTTGACATTGTGTCACAACATTTATGCAGCATTGCTCTGAGGATTTACCTGACAAGGTAGGAGCTAGTGAGGATGAGCTGGCTGGGTGTGGAGAAGGGACAGGGCTCCTGATTGTTCTTTGTGGTGATGAAGGCTGTCACTTTGTTTATTTAATAGGTTTCTCACGTATAACTGGGGAAAATACAAGTTCCACCTATAGATTGGCTGATTCTGTAACAATTAAAGGGCTTAGGTCAGTCTGGACCAGCACATATTTTATTAATGCCCAGTACAATTTAGCTAGAGTAGCAATTGTTAGCATTTGCAATGATGAGTATGAGTACGGGAACTTGGCTAACAGAACCCAAAAAGTAAGTACATTTAATATTGGTTGCAGTTTAACTTAATTTTCCTCTTACTTGTAAGCTTATAAGCTAGCTACAAGTTCTGATAAGAACTTGTTTTTTTCTTTTCTGAAAGGGTATAGGCAGATCT